ACTCTGGTGCCTCTGTTTCCCCACCCACTGGCACTGAGGAGGCGAGTCTCAAGCTGAGGAAATGAACTAGGAGGTACAGGGTGCTCTGATGTAGCCGGCAGGCCCAAGACTGCACTTGTCACATGTTCCCACGTGACACCAACGCTTCTGGGCCACAGACCACAGCCTCTGAGCACACGGAGCAGACCGAGGGAACATACAGAGGAGGAAGAGGTGCAAATAGGGAGAGGGAAGGACAAACTCCAGGAAGAGGTGATCGCCAAGTCCCAGCTGCGCCCCCTCTGGTCAAGGCCTTCCCTGCAGGGCTTTCCTGGAACCACAGGGTGCCCCAGTCTTCCTCACTGTGGACCTTTCCCAGACTGCGGCCTGCAGCATCCCAGCCCAGCCACCTGATGCAGAGTGAGGGGCCTGAGACCTCCTCACACGTTCCCATAGGCAGTTCTGTCAGGACAGGGAGCCCTGCCTGGGCTGGGGCCACAGTCACGTCACCTCCGCCATGGAACAGTTCAACGTGGCCCTAGGTTAGCAGATGGGCACTCTCCTGTCCTCTGCTCCTTCCCAAGCAATGCTCCCTGAAGTCAAAAGAGGGACTTTCTTCACTTTCTCCAATAGCCAGGCTCTGTGCGAAGCACCCTCCTGAATTGTTCTACTTATTTATTTTTAGAGGTTTTTGCCTTAGGGTGAGTGCACTCACAGGACAGACAGCGAGAGGGAAAATGAGAAATCGACCCCCAGGGAGATGGCCGCACCACAATCCCTTCTCCTCCATTCTCCTCCTAGGACCTTGGGCAGGCATGCACACGTGGCCGGCATGAGTTTCAACCCAAGTCTGGGACTCAAACCATATTCGACCACATGGGAGTCCAGTGACATAATTGCTACGCTATCTGCTGGTCCTTGAATGGTTTTATTTAATACTCACAGTTACCTTGTGAGGTAGGAACTGGTTCACCCCCACTTTATAAGAAAACAGGCTCCAGAGGTAGTTTGTCCACTACCTTAAAGCTAACTCTTACTAGCTTTAAGGGTCTGTGGCTTTTTTTTTTTTTTTTTTTTTGAGGTTTTTGCTATAGGGCACGTGCGCTCGCCAGAAAGACAGAGACAGAAAGCGAGAAATCACACCCCAGAGGGGATGGCCATGCCGTTACCCTTCTCCCCCATTCTCCTCTAGTGAGTTTAAGCCACCGGGTCGACTACATGGGAGTCCAGCAACATAGCCATTACGCTAACTGCTGGTCCCAGGGTCTGTGCCCACCCTGGCACCACACCATGACTTAATGTCACATCTGAGGCCAGGAGCCACTGGGACTGAATCTAGGAGAGAAGCCTCAGTACAGGGACTTAGATGGCAGGTCGCAGCAACTAAGGAGCATTGCTTCGGTGTATGATCACTCAAGCGTCAGTGGGAAATCAAGTCATTGTCCCTCTCCCAGGTTTCCTTACCACGCCTCGAGGCTCCTCTGTCAGCTGGGACCGGTAGGTGAGCTGGGCTCTGGCCTGGGCAGAGCGTGTCAGGCAGAAGCTTAACTCACGAGGTACCAGCAACTGTTAGCCCACCAGCCAGAGGGACAGTAACATCTGAATTAAATGGCATCAGCCCACCTGTCCGTAACTTAAATGCAAGTGTCCTGCGACAGAAAATCTTGGCTGAAATTCCATTCAACAAACCTGAGTACCTACAAGCACCGTGCTAGACTTTGTGGGAGGCTCAGCTAATCTCTGCCTTTCGTGGAACACTCGTAGGCTGGACAGAATAAGGAGTGGTGGGGACTGTGGAAAACGAGACTCCTCCTCACCTGAAGTTACTTTGACCACCTTGCTCCAATTGGCTGGAGTCTGAGTAACAGAACTGACTTTTCAAAAGGTGTGAACCTTTCCATTTAAAAAACATGCGGGCCGACACACGGCCACTAGTTTGCCACCTTTGCCCCTCAGTGACCAAACGGTAGCTTTTCCTGTTGCGCCTCCAGCCCTTAACTCCCAGCAGGGCGGAAGTGGTCCATTCGTGTCTGGTAAACTGATGTGAAGCTCATCCAAAGGAGACCCCCCCACACAGTGGCAGTGGGTCTGGAATCTCCAAATACGCAGAACGGCTGAGGCAAATGCGGAAGTTTCAGCTTTGGAAATGACTACCAGGAGCCCCAGTAGGGCAGATGGTTTGGACAACACTAAAAATAGTGGGTGGGAGCTGCTTTTAGGCAAAATATGAATTCGACAAGATCTTGAACTTCACTACTCCTACAGTCCACTCCTCTCCCTCCTCCCCCATTTCTGGATTAGCCCAGCCCCTAAAGGCATTTGGCTTTGACATCTGGTAAGGGGCATTCAGGCTTTGCCCTAATTTGATCCCAGTCTATTACTAGGACTCTTACTGTAGATAAAGACGGAATAAGCCCAACTGTGGTCACGCTATGACACTGCTCTGCGAGATGGCACCAGAAGCCCGGGTTCAATCTCCAGTCCAACCTGAGGACTAGGTCCGAGAGTGCGCACTTGTAAATCTCAGTGACTCGGAGGCTGAGAAAGGGTACTGAGCTCAAGGTTGGCCTGGGCGAGAGTGAGACCTTGTCTAGAAGAGCCCATGTCAGGCTGGACGGTAGAACAATGAGAAATATGATGCTCTGCGAGGCTGGCCCACACGGGAAGGTTCTGAGTTCCTGTTTGGAGACCCCCTCCCTTCCCCACAGTACAACAGACACACGTGCCCATATCCAGGGCTAGGTGAGGCTGGGAGTGGATCTCTGTGTAGACTCTGTTGGGGAGGGGGGTCTCTCCTGTTAATAGGACAAATAAATTTTTAAATAAAAAGAGGATCACAACACAGTAAAGACCCTGTCTTTAAAAATATATAAGCATCTGACACAATGTGTGGCAAAGGGTTCAAGAAATGTTCATCAATACAAGGTTTAGGTCTTTTCTATAAAACACCGAAGAATACTATCGTAGCTGATGCAGAGGTTACAGGGAGTCTGATGTGGGCGTAAAGCACAGTTCTTTGGTTACTGGCACCTGCACTATTATAAACATCAACTTTCAAACCGAGCAGCAAGGGCCACTGCTCAGGGGACACTGGCAGGGACCCCACTCCAGGTAGGAAGTTGGCTTCTGCCCTTATGATCCTTGACACTTACAATAGAAACTAAGAAGAATGTAGGCTCAGTCACAGTGGGAGGTCCAGGTTCAGATCCCAGTCTAACTAACAGGCTGGTATGGCAGCACACACCTGAAGATCCTCACTAACCGGGTGGCCGGGGCAGAGGACAAGGGTGAGTCACTGTCGAAAATACCTCTCAGGACCAGCAGGTGGCGTGGTGGTTAAGGTACTGGACACTCCACCATGGCCGACCACGGCCCAAGTCCTGGACCTGGTAGCTTGCTTTCTCACTTTCTCTGTATATGTCTGGTCAAATGAAAAAAAAATAAGTAAATTAATAAACAATTATTTTTTTTTTAAATACCTCATCTCTTCCTCTTACATACTCACTCTCTCACTAAAAAAGAGGTTCAATAAAATATGGCTGATTTCTATGAATATAGAATAAGATACAAAATATGAAAAAAAATTTACAGAACCATACAATAGGAGCCCATGTTTTAAAAAATGGATCTACATTTATGTTTAGAAAAACTGCTGGAAGGTTAAAGAAGAAACTTAACGGGATGACCTTGAGAAGTGGGCGGGGGGGCACATGCTCACTCCTGCCACCAGCGAACGTTTCCTTTTTGTTTTATAACCCTTCTGTTCCATTTTGATTTCTTTTTCTTACCAGTAGCCTCACTACCTTTATGAAGAAGACCAAATAATTTGGTTTGGCCAAAACCCTTTGGTCTGAGTTTTGCTTTGCAGACACTGCCCAAGTTAAAGCTTTCTCTTTTTTTGTTGTTTTAATTTTTTTTTTTTTAGAGAGATTTTTGCTACAGGTGCATTCACTTGCCAGAGAGACAGGGACAGAGACAGAGAGACAGGAAGCAAATCATCCCCTGGGGGGATGGCATGCTGCAATCCCTTCTCCATCTTCCTCTTGGGGTTTTGGGCACGTGCATGCACACGCACGCACACCCAGCGTTGAGTATTAAGCCACAGGGTCCAGGACTCGAACTGCAGTTGACTACGTGGGACTTCAGCAATGTAACCATTATGCCACCTGCTGGCCCCACACTTTCTATCTTCACATTGTCAAGGCCCAAGAATTTAGAGAACTGGGCTCCCCAGCCTGCCCCTCCCCCATGAGCACATGCATCTGACCTTTGGAGTCTGCTTCAGGTCACCTGCTTTGTCCCTCACTTTCCGAGAACTCTTTTTTCCTCTATGTACACCACCACTTCTCTGCATTGGGGATCTCACCCAAGTCCCATAGCTCTTTTCCTTCGCCTCCAATTTTTTTCCCCGAATTAATTGCTAGAGGGTATATATGGATGCCAGAGAGAGAAAGCACCCACACAATGGGGCATGGCCACACCATAATCCTTTCACTCCATTCCTCCATCCTGTCAGTACCCAGACATGCATACACAAACATGCCTAATGTTTTTTTTCAAGGCGCCAGGGCTGGGATTTGAACTGTAGCTGTCCATATGGCATTCAGTTTTCAATACAGTGTTTACCTGTCATGCTATGGGACGACCCACCCCATGGCTCTTAAAATATTCCCAAACACTTACTCCCAGATTCCTATGTCCAGCCCAGAACCTTCCTTGAACTACAGACACACAGGCACTGTACCTGCTTTCTCAGCAGCTCCTTAAATGCTGAGTAGACATCTGAAATTCAGTATGTCCCAAACTGATCTCATCTTCCCCCCTAAAATTCCTCTACTCATAGCCTTCTAAACTGTAAGTGATGATATGTCCAGGCTTCTACTTGCTTGTGTCCATAACCTTAGAATAAAAGAATGACTCTAGGTAGAAGCTGACCCACAATGCCAGTTACCTAAAAACGAAGGTAGTTCTGGGTGTTGCAACTGAAGATACCATAAAATCATTAAAATATTTTCCAAATGTTTAAGATTTCAATTTGGTATTTTAATTTCTTTTGAATACAAATTACTTTTTGCAAGCTAGGAATTGAATCCTAAGGCAATCAGGTCCTCCAGGGAACAAGGCTAAGTCCTGCAGTCGTAAGCAGAAAGACCCCATCATAAGAGATGCTGGCCACAAGGTTCCAAGGTCTTACGTAATAACCACTTCTTTACATTGGTCAAAAAGAGCAGTCTTTAAAGGCATGACCTACAGAGCATCTTCATCTACAAAGGACAGAGTGACCCGAACCATATGCTGGCCAGTGAACCAGAACAGAGCTGAATAAGGGTTGGTAAACAGAGAAAGTGTTTTACATTTTGAAACCTTGCTCTTCTGCAGTTTTAAAAATTCTTGGTTGCTGTCAATAAGAAAGCAAGTAAAAAATATTACAGATGGACCCACGTAGACATTCGATTTTACCAGGGTCTTCCACTACAACATGAACATAGAGGTAAATGGAGGGAATAAGATACTTAGGTAATGGGAAAATAAATTACTTGGTAATAAGAAATCAGATACACTGCATTATTCCATCTGCTACAAGAACAAACTGACAATCAAAATTATTTAAATGAAACTCTCAACTCTAACAGGGTGGTGGGAGCAATACTTTCCACTACAGAATAACCTCCCGCTTCCCCAGACAACGAAGGCTGCTATTCTTCCAGGGTACATACTCATGCAGGAAAACTTGCCGGGAGCCTTTGCCAGGGCCAGGAGATGAGTAACAGAGCTGTCCTAATTAGCTAACTGGAAGTTCAGTTAACATCTTTGGGATGGACCCGTAAAACCTAGCCATTGTTAAACATCTGCAAACTAAGAGTTTCTTAGCCCTCAGCCATAGTTTCTGCTCGGTATGGGTGCGTTCCTCTGTGACTCTCCTCCTCAGGGCTGAGGTGGGTGCTAGTCGTCAAAGTCTGGAATGTCATCGTAGGAATAACCTCGGTAGCCTTTGGATGCGTAGTAGGCGATGCGTAGGTGGTAAAACCCCGGCAGGAACACCAGAATGCCGATGATCAGGACTGGAACAGCCCGGTCTGCCCCCTGGTGGCAGAGGAGGCAAACACATTAGGACCACACAAGTTACCAATTTTAAATGAAAACAAAGCTATGGCCAGGCATCAGTATTCTTTACTCTTCAAAACATTTTCTTTGGATAGTACACTAATAAGGGAAAAAGTGACATCTCCTGATTATAAACCGAGGAAAAACTACCCAACCTCACCCACAGACACTTATTTCCTTTAGCTCCCTTCTAAAAGTTCTTAGTTGTGAACACACCATATACCCTGTATCTTGCTTGTCACTTTCCATAACAAACGATCGCCAATACTTTTTTTTTCGCTATAGGGCGCGTGTGCTCGCCAGACAGACAGAGAGAGCCATAGAGACAGAAAGCAAGAAATCACCACCCAGGGGGTACGGTCACGCCGCAATCCCTTCTCCTCCATTCTCCTCTCGGGATCTTGGGCATGCACGCACACGCACCCGGCGTGAGATTTAAGCCACCGGGTCCGGGACACGAACCATAGTCAACTACATGGGAATCCAGCGACATAGCCATTACGCTAACTGCCTGAACCCACAATCGCCAATATTAATGAATGTATTCACCTTGCAAAATGTATTACCTCGGGGCCAGCAGTTGGCATAATGGCCATGTCACTGAACTCCCATGTAGTCAACCACGATTCGAGTACTGGACCCGGTGGCTTAAACTCATGCCGGGCGCGTGTGCGTGCGTGCCCAAGATCCCGAGAGGAAAATGGAGAAGGGATTGAGGTGTGACCATCCCCCCTGGGGGGTGATTTCTCGCTTTCCGTCTCTATGTCTCTGTCTGTCTGGCGAGCGCATGCGCCCTATAGTGGGAAAAAAAAAAAGTACCCTTTTAGCAGGAATAAACAATAGATATATTTAAAGTTTATTTCTTCTATGAACAAAAGAAACAGACAGACAGACAGACAACATCCCCAAGAGGGTTTGGTTTATTTTTCAAGTTTCTGTTACAGGGTGTGTGCACTTGTCTCTGATAGACAGAAAGAGGGAAAGTAAGAACTCGCCCAAGAGGGGGAAAGCCATACCACAGTCCCTTTTCCTCCAGCCTCTCCCCAGGATTTTGGGCTTGCAAGCACACATGCCTGATATAATTTCCTTTTTTTGTGGGGGGGGGAAGGTTTTTGCTATACGGTGCATGCACTCGCCAGAAAGACAGAGAGAGACAGAGAGACAGAAAGTGAGAAATCACCCCCCCTCAAAGGGGGAATGGCCATGCCGCAATCCCTTCTCCATTCTCCTCTCGGGATCTTGGGCACACACATACACGTGCCCAACATGAGTTTAAGCCACTGGGTCCGGGACTCGAACTGCGGTTGACTACATGGGAGTCCAGCGACATAGCCATTACGCCAACTGCTGGTCCCAACCTAGCATAATTTTTAAGCCACCAGGTTCATAACTCAAACCGCAGAGTTGGTCACATAGGATCCTGCACCTTAACTTCCATGTCACCTGCTGGTCTCAAGCCCAAGAGGTTTTTGTTTTTTTAAAGAGAATTATTTAATTTTATTTAGTATTGTTATTATTTCTTTAATTTGCTATATGGCAGTTGCACACATGCAGGCATGCTAGAAAGAGAAAGGGAAAGCAAGCCGCCAGGTCCAAGACTCAAACTGCAGTCAGCCACGTGGGAGTCCAGGGCCTTAACTACCACACCACCTGCTGGTCCCCTCAAGAAGGTTTTAATACCACAAAACCATCCCCAGGCTCTGCCAGCCCGAGATCACAAGCACATCTGAGCCTGGCACACTCAGGGAGGTCTCAGACACAAATCGAGAACTTCCCTGGTGGCTCAGGCTCATAGGGCAGTTGCTTTCCGCTGCTGTGCCACCGTCTGGCCCTTAAACAATGCACATCCATACATTACTAGTCAACACAGTTTTGGCCGTTTCATCTACAAACAGAAATAGGAGTACTCACTTCATATGGTTATTGTAAAAAACAATTATAGATTGGGTAATACAGTAAGGTGGTCCCAGCTGGCATACGACTCAAGGAAAATGAGCTGAAAACCCAAGCGGGGGCCTGATGGTGGTGCCGTGGTAAAACAAAAGTCACTACGAGGGAAAGTTCTAAGTTCATTCATGCCTGGAAACCCCTAACCCTCCCTGAGTTCACTGGGCATCACATGCCTATGATCTGGGGGTTGCTGAGGATAGGGGCGAATCACAATGCCAAGACTCTGCTGGGGGTGCTGCCCCTCTCACCCATGGACAAAATACATTGTATGCGTGTGTATAGGTAGCAGGTAACACATGTATGTATGTATACCTAAATAAAACCACACAGAAGGAGCCAGGCGGTGGCAGTGGCAATACAACTGGACCCACATGGGAAAGGTCCTGGGTTTGTCGTAAAACCTCCCTGAGCATGTCGGGTGCCATCCTTGTGCCCATGACCCGGCTGGCTGAGACTGAGGTGGACTGTGGCATGAGGACTCTGTGGGGGTAGCTGTTTCCGTCTATGCAAGAAATAAATGAATAAACTCTAAAGAAAAAAAAAAAATAGAATAGAGCATCTTCCCTTTCCTATTTTTAGATTTAAGAAAGTCCTTTATAGAAGAATTTTAGCTGATAAATGCAGAAAATGATAGAACTGGACTCATTAGTGGAAAGGGTGATGAAGTGTGTGGTAAATGAATTAGGCTGATGACACCCAAACCTAGTAATCAAGCTTATTATTACAAATTAGAGGAGTACAGTGGGCGGCTTGGTGGCTAAGGCAGGTGGATCCCACATGGCCGACTGTGCCGTTTGAATCCTGGACCCAGCAGCTTGAAAAACACCACCAGGTTCAAGTACATACGTGCATGCTCACAATCCCAAGGGGAGAATGGAGAAAGGACTGCAGTGTGGCCATCCCCCCAGAGAGTGATATATCTCCTTCCCCTCCTCCCCTGCAACAAGCACATATATTCTATAGCAAACTAAAAATAAATAAATTAAAATTAAGACAACCAAACCTGCCTCCTAGAGTAATGGTTCTCGAAATGTGATACATGAACTTCTGCCATTATTTAGGAACTAGTTAGCAATGCAAATTATTAGGCCCCAACCAAGTGCTATAGAACTGGAACCACTGGGTGTGGGGTGTAGGGTGAAGGAATCTGTGTTTTAGCAAACCTGCCAGTGAGACTGGTTGAAACTGAAGATAGCATCGCTTATGAGTCATTCTTTCTAAAGCAAAGAAAAGTAAGCTATTAATATATCTGAATCTAAGCAAGCCCTTAATGTAACACTTTAAAAGTAGGAGAAAGAGAGTAACAACAAGAGGTAAATGATTTTAAGACACTGCTACTGGAGTTATGTAAAACCTGTTAGAAATGCACACTTGGGACCAGCAGTTGGCATAATGCCTATGTCGCTGGACTCCCATGTAATCGACTGCAGTTCGAGTTCTGGACTCAGTGGCTTAAAACTCACGCCGGGCATGTGTGCGTGTGTGCTCAAGATCCCGAGAGGAGAATGGTAGAGAAGGGATTGTGGCGTGGCCACCCCTCCTGAGAGGGAGATTTCTCACTTTCTGTCTCTCTGTCTCTCTCTCTCTGGCGAGCGCACGGGCCCTATAGCAAAAACCTCTCCAAAAAAAAGAAAAATTAATAAAAAAGAAATGCACACTTAAAATTGACCAATAAAACGTGAATCTATGGACCAGCAGTTGGTGTAATGGCTATGTCGCTGGACTCCCATGTAGTTGACCGCGGTTCGAGTCCTGGACCTGGTGGCTTCAACTCACGCCAGGCACGACTCCGTGGGTACCCAAGATCCCAAGAGGAGAATGGAGGAGAAGGAACTGCATTGTGGCCATCCCCCCAGGGGGGTGATATCTCCCCTTCTGTCTCTCTCTGCCTTTCTGGCAAGCGCATGCACCCTATAGCAAAATAAAATAAATAAAAAGGCTAAAAATCTATTAATAATTTTCTTAACTAACTTTTTCTATTTTTATTTTCTTTTGCCAGAGAGTTCACGTGTTTATCAAGAGACAGAAAAAACAGGAGGGAGAGAAAACACCTCCAACTATACATTGTCACACCACAATCCCTTCTCCATCCTTTTCAGATTTGGGGCATACACATTCATCCAATGTGTTTTTCAAGTTGCTGGATCTGGGACTTAAATTACATGGTCAGCCACGTGGAATCTAGCTCTCTAAACCACCAGGCCATAGGCTGGCCCTTAATTAACACTAAAAAAAATATTTTATTTAACTTTATTTACTTTAATTTGATGAGAGAGGGACAGAGCGAGAGAGAGTGAGAAAACCAGCAGCCAGGTCCAGGATTCAAACCGTGGATGGCCATGTGAGAGTCCAGTGCCCTTAACCACCATGCTACCTGCTGGCCCCACATTTTTAATCCTTATTTATGAGGTAGTCTTTTATAAACCTCATGAGGCGAAATTTTATTTGCTGCATTGATTTCACTCCTGCTTTCAATTTGTATAGCATCACTAACAAACTCCGTACCATACCCCTGGGGTTCCTACTACACACTGCAATGAAAGGGATCTGAAGACACAGCCAAGTCGGGTGCTCAAATTCGACAGACCAGACCAAGGAAGCCTCTGATGCCTATGTAATAGGTTTAAATAGCTGTGAACCGAAGGAGGATCAAATAAACCTCTCTAACTTTATTTATTTCCTTTTTCAGAGAGAGAGAGAAAGATTCAGCTACTGGCCATGTACTTTCTGCAGAGCTGTGTGACTGTCATCGCCCAGCCTGGTGTGAGTTACAGAACAGATACAGGGGGACCAGCAGACATAATGGTTACATCACTGGACTCCCACATGGCTAACCACAGTTCGAGTCCTGAACCCAGCAGCTTGAAACTCATGCTGGGCACATGTGTATGCATGCCTAGAATCCCGCGAGTAGAATGGAGACGGGACTGCAGTGTGGGCATCCCTATAGGGGAGGGGGAGAGTGATTTCTCGCCTTCTGTCTGTCTCTCTCTCTGTTTCCAGTGAGCACACGCACCCTATAGTAAAAATCTCTCTGGGGGAAAAAAAAAAAGAAAAAAAAGAACAAATATGGTCGGCTATGTAGGGTGGCTGTGCATAGGGAGTTGGATCCTACATGGCAGACCAAGATTTGAGTCCTGACCCTGACAGCTTGAAAAAAAGTCAGGTGCGTGAGTGCAAGCCCTAAATCCTGGCACAATGGAGAGAGGAAAAAGGACTGTACCTCGAACTACTTTAGGTTCCTAAGGCATCACACCAAAGCTCAACAGGAACTCCTGTCAAACCCAATGTAAGAAGCTGGTTTTTGAGGCTCAGTGACCCCAGACTCGTACGAGACGCACTTCCTTCTCCCCAACACTGACCACATGGTGTGGCACTGCAGAGCTATGACGAGGGCATACCACTCCAGCTATGGCCCTTCTCCAGTCAGGAGCGCCGGGCTCGGCTGCCTTGTTCCAAACTCTGAGAGTGGGCAAACTGCCCAGCATCTTCAGAGGCCAAGTTTGTCTGTCTACAAACACTCACTCATCAGAATCATGGGAGAAGTTTGTGGCTGCTCAAAAGAAGAAACTTGTTTATGTTTTGATATTAAAGAAAAAAATGTGAAAGAAAATCTTTCTCTGCTTTCATCTGGAATCTGCTTTCCTGGATATAAACGTAAGAACAACTGAGCCTTAGTCGACACTTTCGAGCTCTTAATACATTTACCCTGCGCCCGCAGCTTACCCCTTTGCTGATGTAGCCCGACAGCAGGAGGGAGCCTATGATAATGAGAAACGTGCCAATCAGAAACAGCACAGTGGCAAGCGCAATGGCCTTATACGGTATCTTAGGAGGGCTTTTCTTAAACTGCAAGAAAAACAAAAGCAAACAAAAATGACAAGGAAGAATATAAAGGAAATACCAGGGTACAAAGACTTTAAAACAAGAAGGACACAAATAACCAAACTGGGTACTTTGTGTGTCTTAAAGTATGTCCTACCACCCAGAGTCTCTCCGGAAGAGGAAGGAAAGGGAGAGGTAGGACACAAAACACACACTCAAAGCGGTCCTAGGAGACCATCATCCTTTCTAGTTCTAATCTCATTCCACAGACTATTGATTATATCATAAAAATCTAGGTTTTCTACAAAAACAGGTACAACTTTATGGTCATTCATCCATCAGATATATATTTACTAAGTGCTTGGCACATGGATGGCTGTTCTAATCTATGTGGACCTGAGACTGAACATCACCCTATGACCAAGTTAAAAAAAAAAGTAAGTGATCTCTGACATTAAAAGTTAAGCTAGTATATAGTCAAAGGTTTGATAAACAATTTCAGCTTTTTCTAAACATTAGTTGCTTGCTCACAGGGCAACTAACCTGACTTAGGATTAAATTCAATTCAAGGTTAAGATTTAGAGATAAACTTTCAAAGGTCTGGCTCATGGTTGTACCTGATCTAACTGGATGCTTCCCAGATCGATTTTTATCTCTCCTTCAAATGCGGGTCCAAAGAGTATAAAGAAAAATTGATTTATTTATATTTAAAAGGATGGGTTCCTGCTACTTCCTCCGTGGCTCTGGCACCATCTAAAATATTCTATTTTAAGGGGAAGTCGACTAAAGGACAGGCTGTATTATTTTATTAATAATGGTCAGGGTAAGACACAAACCTAAAAAATATTGTTTTACTTACTGTTTGTGATAAGGAATACCTTTAATAAATTGGATCTCATGACATCAGGAAAGAACGAAGAATCCCACAACCTGCTGGCTTCAGCAGCTATCTGCTTTTCTCCCTTAAAAGACGAACTGGCTTTGACTAACGTGTAAACTGGTGACACAGTCCTTAAGAAAAGTCCACTTACGGGAAACCAGCAGTTAGCATAATGGCTATGTCGCTGGACTCCCACATAGTCGACCGCGGTTCGCATCCCGGACCCGGTGCCTTAAAAATTCACGCCAGGCACATGGGCATGCGTGCCCAAGATCCCAAGGGTAGAATGGAGAAGGGATTGCGGCCTGACCATCCCCTCTGGGGGGTGATTTCTCGCTTTCTGTCTGGCTGGCGAGCGCACACGCCCTATAGCAAAAACCTCTCCCCCAAAAAAGAAAAGTCTACTTACCAAATACAACCCGATTATTTTGTAGATAAACTAAATAAAACTTGCTATTGTAGAGTTCTGGCATTGCAACTAAAGTTCTCAGAACTGGAATTGGTTGGAAACTGCCCTGTACCAAGGCCCTTCCTGCAGGCCATGGCTGAAAGGGCCTCAGAGCTGAGTTTACTTTTGAATGCTCCATCTAATCCCCAAAGACAGTTAGCAAAACTTCCACTTGGAAAGTCTTCCTGAGAGCTCAACAGAAATAAGCCAGCCAGGGTTGTCAGACCCTCTGCTTTTACCTGAAGATCAATGTAGCCATCATCTGTGCTAGCGAGCCTTGAGTATTTCACTTTACTACTGGGGATTCCAGTAGCCAGGTTGGTACGAGCCGGCATCATAACACGCTGACACTACAATCTGAAAACAAAATAAATTTAATACAGTAAGGTATGTAGGTGACAGTGGTGCGTTACAGTCAATGAGTTCAAGACTCTTAGATGCTACATACTGGAGTTCTGGGCTGCCACGTCACATCGCAACTGGCAATTTAGGTTTCGCTGATCTTAGAACGTGAGATTTGTGACAATGAGAAGCACTCTCATCCTGTATCTCCTCTAGTCCTTCCTTCTAGAAATAGAGCCACGTCTTTCCCT